GGGGGGGGGGGGGGGGGGGGGGGGGGGGCCTGGTTCCTTCTCTCCCTTGGCAGCCAGTGGCGCCAAGGAGAAAATGAGGCAATAAATAACTGGGGCTGGGGGGGGGAGAGGGGGCCAAGAGAGAGAGAGGAGGAGATGAACCAAGTGGCGTGCTCTACCGTAATGCTGAAATACGGCCCCGCTGGGTTCGGGACTGCGCTCCGCTCACAAAGCCGTCCTCGCTGATGGCGGCGGCACGGGGTGGAGGGCGCATCAGGATGCGGCAAAACAAGGAGCCCAGGATGGAGAAGGGTGGGGAGAGCATCCTTCTATGGCCTTTCCATCCGCCGGGAGGAGAGGGGCCCCTGAGAGCCACACGGAGCCTCCAGGGACAGGGGCAGTCTACCTCCAAACCCTGCCCAGCAGCCGGAGACCCACTTGAAGGATTCCCCAGCTGAGCAGGAAGCGGCTCGCTTAGCTTCGGGTTGGATTCCTCCTTCGATCTGGGATCCGGAGAAATCTTTATTCCGGAGAGAGCCCCCCTTAGTATACGGCACCCCGTTCTGGGTGCCGCGTTACCGGGAGGCGGGGGAGCGTGGAGAGGGGGGCCGGGAGAAAAGGTTTGCAAAACCTTTGGGGTTTTAGGCTCGAGACGGGTCGACGAGGGGCCAGAACGGTCAAGAGTTGTCCCTGAACATGGGGCCAGGGAAAAAATGGGGTTGAAATGATGTTAATAGATTTTGGGTGGGTAGCTGGAGAGATGTCCTAGGTAAGGAAAGAGGTTTGTCTGAGACGTGCTTCTACACAAACAGATGGTTGTTTGTTGGGGGTAACATTAGATGACCTCCCAACTCTCTTCCAACCCCTCCATTCGATGCTTCTCTCATTTCTGTTCTCATTCCGACGATCTCAGAGGTCTTTTTTGGGGCTGTGGAGCCTTTGGGAATTTGATGCAACCTACAGACTCCTTCTCAGAAAAATGGATTTAACGGCACACCACAGACTGCATATCAAGGAAACATCTGCCTGCGGCCCCTTGGTGACAAAGAAATACAAGTCAGCTCCGCTGGATGGTTCTAAGAT